CAAATGGGAATCTGCTCTGAGGCCCCAAGGTCTGGGCTGTGGGCCCACAGCAGGCGCAGCCATGGAAACAGGGACCTCTGAGGGCATACTGCAAGGAGGGAGTGTGCAGTGGGAAGGGGAAAGGGACACATTATCGTTTTGGTTTAGTGATTACTGTGCCCAAGCTGTTATTTTCATCATAATTAAACATGGGGTTTGACATTCCAGGGCTGAGACTTTTGAGAAATGCAAATATAAATGAATAACAAAATAAAAAAATACAGAGTAGCCTTGAACATGGCCATATTCTTGACCTCATTGGCCTAGGAGAAGTAGAGCAGTGAATGAAACCCAACTCGTTTTAGAACACTGGTAACAGTGTTTCTCAGAGGACATCATGATATTCTCTGAAGAGTTAGGTTGCCCTTTTGGTGACGGGTGGACGCATTACTACCCCCCCAGGAGAGAATCCAGCCCCTGAGGTGCCAGCTCAGTGGGCCTGTCTCCTCCCTGTTTGCTGCCGTGTTCTCTCGACCTGATGGCAGGAGCTCCTTTGCGTATACATGTTGGCCCCAGTGCATCAGCAAGGCTGCCCTCACAGAGAAAGTCAAAAACAGACCAAAAATTACAAATTAGCCAGCCCAGAGATTTTTAGAGAAGCATTGTATTCCTTCCATGAAAGAAATAGCAACAAAAAAACCCCGTAACTTATGAACTTTGTCACCAAGAACTTCATAGCCACAGAATGATCTTTTTCTTTTTGTAACTTGGGTCATTTCTCTCACCCATGAAAGGACTCCTGTCCCAGTCATGGCAGCTGGGGTCTTAAAATTGTGGAAGCTCCCGCCTCTCACCCCGCCTTTGAGACTCAGGCCAGGAATGGATCCACAATGACTGCCCAGCTGGAGGGCTTCCAGGTGACCACCAAAGTCCTTTGATTCAAAGCTGTGGGATTCAGTGTCAAATTATAGTTCTGCCAAGTTGTGTAACCTTGAGCAATAGTTAACATCTCTGAACCTCAGCCTCCTTACCCATAAAATGGTAATACAGGATTAGTAATTCCAGTTAGATAGTAAAGCCAAGGTTTGCTTTCAGGCTTAGCACTGGCTCTATCTATAGTAGGCCTGGAGACCCTTAGTAGGCCTGGGAACAAGGTATGAAGGATTCTGCTAACAACACAAAAAATAATTGGAATAGTTCTTTCCAGAATGCTATGCTTAGAAAACAGGGGTCAGCCTCACAACCCGATTGCCTAGGCAGAACTCTTCAGTTTGGCCCAATCGTCATCTCAAGTGGTTTAGTTCCCATGTGTGCCAGCTCAGGACGCAGTGATATGAAGTCCCAGGGTTCCCCCAGGTGTGTGCAGTGTAGCTGAGGCAATAAAGCTACACCATGTAGAATAGTTGGTACAGATCAGTATATGAATTATAAAGATGTGATGGGAAGAGTATCCGAGATGATCCAGGTCAGCCCAATGTGATCACAAGGATCCTTATAAGAGGGAGGCAGGAGGGTTAGAGTTGTAATGATGGAATCGCAGCTTGGAGGGTCACGAAGCCACAGATCCAAGGAATGAAGGAAGCCTCTATATAAGCTGGGAAAAGCAAGGATACAAGTTCTCCCTTGTCGCCTCCAGGAAGAACGCCACCTGCTTGCTGAGACTGGTTGTGGACTTCTGGCCACAACTGTAAGAATCCGTCTGCGTTGCTTTCAGCAACCCTATGTGTGGCAATTACTGCAGCAGCAGTGGGGAACTAATACACTAGGTCGGTTCAGAGGAGGGAAGAATGCTCTAGAGCAGTATTTTTCACATTGAGAGTCAGAGTCCATTAGTGATTGTAAAAGTCAATTTAGTAGGTCATGATGAATTTTTTTAATGAAATGAGAAAAATAAAATTTTGTATTACATGTAGTAAGTAAGTATTGTTTCACAATACTTATGTTTCAGATACACACAGAGGTTTGTACTAGGTCACAATATATATCACTGTGGCCCTGAACAAAAACAGTTTGAAAACCACTGAGGTAGACAGAGTCAGTCACCTGAGGGGATTCATGAGGAAGGGTGCTTTATTCACACCTTGACGCATCACTGCAAGAATAGCTAACTGTGCCGGGCACCAAGGTAAGCAATTGATAGGCATTAACTGCTCACAACAATGTTGTAGTGTTGGAACTGCTACTGCCACATATTAAAGATGACAAAATTCAAGTCCAGAACCGTGACAATCGCCAGAGCACCAGCCGTAAATGCTAAGCATGCGCCCTATTGGGCAAGGGCAGGGAGTGGAGGTACAGCAATGACCAAGCTCAGTTCACTCATGCTCAGGAGTACGGGGGATGTCACTGGAACTGATGGAAGAGGACCTCTCTGATGATGCCTTGTGCAGTTTCATTGTAGACCTGAGTTTCTCAATTGAACTGCCACATAAAACTGTGTGGCTTGGAAGGGGATGTGCAACAAGGGGCCAGCCCTATCAGAAGGCCTGCCCCCTAGAGCCAGGGCCAGGGGTGTGGAATGCTGAATGCTCCAAGCCTCAGCCATGGTGGACACCTGACCTCCCAGGCTTTGGGCACCTCACATGTGCGTATGGTCTGGGGAAGGAGGCACAGGGTTTCCCCTCTTCCCTTCTGCTCACAGGGATCAGCAGGCTATCCCTTTATCTCAGGGATAGAGACCCATGGTCCACATTCAGGCGTGGGCACACATTGAGACAGAAGGAGAACATGCTGGGCTCTTCCGGGAAAGGGTTTTCCCTGGAGTCCCAATGCCTCAGCCAGACCACTGCGTCCTGAGTCCCCATGTATGGAGCATGATGGCAGCATTACCCTCTTGTGAAAAGAAGCAGTAAGGCCAGTGTGGAGAGGAGGAAGGAGCAGAAAGTCAAAGAACCCTGATGACCTGGAGCCATTACCCCAGCTCCTGACTGACTGCCCTCCTCCCAGTTAACTCCAAAGCCTGAGTATGTAGGTGCATTCCTTGGACACCTGAGGAGGAGGAAGAGAAAGAAGAGTGTAGCCTCTTCTCAGGGCACCGCAGGGTAAGGCAGCTTCCAGGAGGAAACAGAAAGCTCTCGCCTTGTTCTCAAAACTCCAAATGAAATTCTTCACCCCCAGGCTCCCCTCACCCAAGAAGTGGTTTCACTTCTTAGACTTAGAAAACTTTGTCTCCCATTTCAAATAACACTTCTGCCACTTCCCAATTTGAGCTGTGCTCTCCCACCCATTGGGTCCTCCCCCTCACAGAGACCGCAGGCCTGTGAGGCGGGCAACAGTGCATGTATGAGTCAGCCTCACTTTACAGAGTCAGAAAACAAGGCACTGAAGGGAAGTTATATTTGCATGAAGTTACACTACAGGTAAAGTGGCAGAGCCAGGAATGGGTTCAATTTTCTAACACCACTTGTTCGTTCATGCATTCACTCATTCAACAGACATGCATTGAGTGCCTCCTGTATGCCAGGTGCCATTCTAGGCACCAGGGAGAGCAGAGTGAGCGATACAAACATGGTTTCTGCCCGCACTAAGCTTACGAGTTGTCCTTTCATCAAATCAGGCTACCTCGGACCACTTTTCAAAATGAAGAGAAACGAGTCTGAGTATGATATTTGTCAGGATGCTTTTAGTGATAACAGAAAAACTCAAATCAGTTTTAAGAACAGACTCCTTAGCTCATGTATCTGAAACCTCTGGATAGAACAGGTTGTCTCAGGTTGACCAGTCAGAGGTTGACCACGGTTCTGGCCCTTTTCCTGGGATTCTGTCCATCTGAGCTCTAACTGGGTCACCTGGCTTCCTTTGTGGCTGTTCCACTTTTGTGCTCAGATTCGTACAGCTCACCCAGATGGGGCTTCTCTCCCTCCATCGTTATCCAAAGTCCTGGGCTTTGCTTTGGCCTGGCCATCTGAGGTCACAAGTCCAGGATAGGGAACACCAGGAGCTGACTGGGCAAAAGCACTCAGTGCCCACACCAGAGGTGCGTGTCAGCCTCACCTGGGGTAATTTCCTGGGCATATACAAAGCTGTGGAGGAATGGAATGGAAGCCAGAGGTGCCACAGGTGCCCCACGGTGTCCCCTCATAACTGCACTTGTCCCCACGGGAAGGGCGTTGCTAGTACAGACCACCTGAAACTTTCTGGTTAGACTAACACTATCACCAGGATTTAACAAGGTTAGATGGGGACCCCTGGTGACTGCCACTCAGTGTCTCCTCTGAGCCAGGAAAGTTCAGGATCTTACAAATCTTAGCTAAAGTTTACTGAACACTCTACTTGCTACTAGAAGTGCTCCATGTTTTTAGATACATTTAATCCTGCAGGAGTGGAATTCAATGAAATAGGAGCTGGGACTGGTGAGCACAGGATGGGAGTCCAGTGGACATCTTTAATGGGGAGGGGGTCAGGGTGAACGGTGAGCTAAGATGCTCAGCCACACCTGCAGGATAAACTGAAGTAGGTCAAGTGGGGAGAGGGTGGGAAAGTGTTCTAGGCAGAAAGAACGGCACCTGTCAAAGCCCCTAGATCTGGACCTCCAAAAACCATGAAGATCCCACACCTCAACCCACCCCCTGCCGCTGCTTGCTGCCTGGCTGCCCTTGGGTGAAATGAGTCATTCCTCGGGAGAGGGTGCAGAGTTGTCACCAGGGTCTCCTCCTTCTGTCAGGCCACCTAGCGACATCAACAAGGATGAGACAAGGTAGAAGTGGAAAGACTCACGGGGATCACCTGGCCCAAGATCCAAATTCAGGTGGCCGTAAAAGGAGTGAAGCAGTCTGCGGTGGAACAGAGATGTAAGAAGTCGGCCCTGAGAAAATGCTGGGCCCGCCAGAGTCAGGCAGGGCGCCAATGTGCACTCCGCCCCCACCCCCATCCCCGGGTTTCGTAGGGCGGACGCTGAGACGGGGAGGAGGGGGCGGAGCTGTCTGCCTTGGCGACGCCCTGCTGCACTTTTGGCGCCCAGTGGGTATCAGCTGGTGAAGGAAGGGGCGGTCCCCGCGGTCTGGGGACCGAGTCCTGCAGAAAATCCCTAAATTGCTGGGTCACAGCTGGTGTGAACCCAGAGCCCGCCCCCCTCTTGGTGTTGTCGAGGGGAGGACATGCACCTACCGGACTCCGGGTTCCCGCCAGCTGGCTGCTCAGGCTGCGCACCCCTCTCTGAGCCTCAGTTTCTCCGTCCATAAAGTGGTGAGAAGCGGTCACGGACAGTGCCAGGGCCCCGGCGGCCCCCAAATCCAAAGAGGTGGGCGGGGCCTTTGACCTCCTGACCACCGCCCGGATCCCGCCCCCGGCCCCGCGGAGCTGAGGCTGCCAGGCCCCGCCCCCCGCCCACGAGGAAGTGGTTGCGGGTCCCAGAGCCGGTTCGGCGCGTCGACTGTCCAGAGTCCGCGGCCAGGAGCCCCGAGGTGAGGGGGCGCTGGGAGTTGGTGGCCCCCAGACGGAGGGTCTAGGGGGCCGCCTGGAGATGAGGGGCGATTGAGGGGACGCGGGGATGAGGCGGGGCGCGGGGAGGGGTCAAAGGGTGGGGCGCCTGGAGGTGAGGTGGGGGCCTGCTCGGATATGTGGGGGCGCCCCGAGGTGAGGGGGCGCCTGGTGGTGAGAGGGTACGGGGGCGCAGGGTGCGGGTGGCGGGCCCGGCCGAGGGTGGACAACGCAGGGCTCCCCGCACCCGGCGTCCTGGGGGTGGCCGGGCACCCGGCCTCTGCGTCCGCTCCTGCCCTCCTTCCCCGCTTTCCCATCTCCCCGATTTTGCTCCACGGTCGGTGCCCGCCCCGTTATTTCGGTCGGCGAGGGTCCCACGCCTAGTCACTTCCCCTCCATCCTCCAGCCTTCCGGGTTGCTCCAGCGGAAAAAGAGCTGGCGTCCCCGCCCGGCACCTCGCTCCTCCCAGTGCCCCCTCCCCGCAGCCTGCCTCCTGCCCCAGGGGCCAGGTCCAGGGGTTCCCTACAGACGGAGCCAGACCCCGACGGATCTGATCGGCCCCTCTGCTAGCTGCGGAGTGAACAGCCAGGCCACACAGGCGGGGCAGGGCCGGGACCGCGGGCAGTGACAGTAATACGGTAATGACTAGTGTGAAGCAACAGGGGAGCTGGCTCTCCACTCCCCATCCCCGCTACCCTCTCGACGTTATTCCAGGCTGTCCCCACGTTCCTATCACCTGGAGGCCAGGACTACCCAATGGGTAAGGTCGCCCATTGCTGGTGAGGTCTTAGGGACCTAGGTAATAATGCCAGCTTCTTCCTTCACGGTGATGACCTTAGCAAGCCACCTTCCTTCTCTGGGCCTCAACTTGCCTTATCTGAAAAATGGGGGCCTTTCAAGTCCTGAGCCATAAATATGATCATCTGTGCATGGCACTTGCCAACGTGCCAGACACACACAAAGTATAAATGTGTGCTGCTATTGTCGCTGCCGTTATAAGGCCTGCCCGCATTTATCGAAGTATCTATCCAGGTGAACCTAACCTGAGATTTGGGGTCAGGATCTGCTGTGCATTTTAAGAACTGTGTGACTTTGAGCCAATCTTGGCTTTTAGTTGCATCTCAGTTTCCTTCTGTACAAAATGAAGGTTAAAGAAAATTCTTAGGCTTGCTTTATTTTTTTTCTTGTTTGAAAATGTAAGTGGGACCTCATAATTTTATTTCATTTTTTTAATTAAGCTTGCTTTAGGTAAAAAAGAAAATAGACTATATGTAAAAGTTCTGGGAAATCCTGGGCATTTAGAAATGGCAAATAAAGTTAGTAACTATCACATGTGTGTTTATAATAGTTAAATAGAATTAATATCTCATGTTCTCATTACACATCTGTAGTCATCTGGATTTTTCTACCCTATTACAAAGAAGATTATTATGAATGTGTTTGCTTTAAAAAAGAAAAAAAGCCAGTGGCTATTTTCTTAGCACCGAAATGAATTTATGTCACCAGAGTGTTGACAATCTTTTATTTAAAGCATTTTTTAAAGATTGATTGATTGATTGATTGATTGATTTTTAGAGAGAGGAGACAGGAGAAGGAGAGGGAGAGAAACATCATCATTGGGTTGCCTGTGGTACTTGCCCAAACCGGGGACAGAACTTGCAATCCAAGCATGTGCCCTAACCCAGAATTGAACTGGCAACCATTTGCTTTGCAGGAGACACCCAACCAACTGAGCCATACGAGTCAGGACAATAGTGTTAACAATCTTAATTTCCTGTTCATGTCATTCTGTTCTGTTTTTTCCTACCCAGCTGTTAAATTAAGCATTATCATGTCACTCTTCAGAAAGACTGAACAAATTAGCAACAAATGAAAATTTCTCTACAGCCCTGCCAGCATAGAGTTTTATGTGGTTCTGATTTTTGTTTTGTTTGAATTACTTTAACTGGGGCTTTTTGGTGCTTTTACGATTGTTTTCATTTGTGTTTCTTGACTTAACTTCTTCGCCTGATTTGTGACTTCAAGAGCAGAGTTGGGGAGAAGGGATTGGCTGGCCTGTTTGGGTGGCAAGGGCTGCTCCACACACAACAGGAAGTTGAGTAATTGCTTAGCATGCTGCAAAATGGCTCGCGGGCAGCTCACTCCAGCCAGCCTCTGAACTGGGTGGGGACTTCCCTGAGTGCCTGTAGTGCAGAGATCCTTGCTCCAGGCAGCTCTTGCCTGGATTAGCCTCAAGTACAGCCAAATGTCTGGATTTAGAGAAGGCTGGCAAGCTTCTCTGAAAGTGAGAAAAAAAACCTACAGTGTGTGCCTTGTCCAGCCCCAGCCTTTTCTGGATGGAGATGTGAAGAAAGCATTGTCTGAGAGCATCCAGCCAGTATGGACAGAGCCAGAATTTGAACCCGGCACTGTAAGGAAGGAGCGCTGAGGCCTGAGACCTTTGACAGGGCAGCCTGAGACTTCACCTGGCTTGCTTTGCCTCAGAAAGGATCTATATTCTCCCCAAATTCTCAGAAGACCCTCTAGATTCCGGATTTTCAAGCGTTTCTGATCATTGATCCTATCAGGAAAAAATGTGAGCACATGCTCTCCAGTAAATATTTACAAATTTCATCCATGTGCCACTGAAGTAATAATATGGCATATCCCTTATAGACCATCCCCTAAGACAGACATGAAAGGATACGATTCACTGATTCAACTACATTCAAGAAATATTTATTGAGCACCTATTATTTTTCCAGGTACTCTAATTGGTGCTGGAGATGCGTCAGTGAACAAAAATACCCCGTGGGGCATATGTCCACACCCCAGAGCATGGTCTTTGGCACCCCCTGGATGGAAACCCACGCCCCACCTTGTAGACCCACACCCCTTTCTGGCCCCCATGTCACTCCTCTCTGCCCTCACACCCCCAGCCATGGGTGCTCCTGGGTCCGTACACCCTGAGCATCTGCTGTGTGTGGACATGAGGGAAGTGCTGCTGGGACCACAGAGAGATCCTGGCTCCAGGCTGGGGGAGAGCAGGGATTCTTTCAAGGTTTGGCCTGTGTTCCCCCAGCCTCATTCAGTTTCGGAGGTGGTGGGGGGCAGGGGCACAGAGCACTGGCTGTGAACTCCAAGTCCCAATGCCATCCCCAGGGCCCCCTCCTCTCCTTGTCTTTAACAGTCAAATGGGCCCACAGGGTGCTGGCTCACAGAGCCAGGTGACAAGTGGGTGGGTGTCCCAGAGGCCACAGCCTCAGCCTGCCTTTGTCTCCACCAGGAACCATCACAGAGGCAATGCACGGGCAAAGCAGCCCTGACAGCATTTCCCTCAAAAGGAGGTTGACTGGCAGTTGAGCCCATCTCCCCACCTTTGTAGGGCAGAGGTTTTCCTGGGAATGATTGAGGCAAAGTTCCCGAGGCAGGTGGCCCAGTGTGAAGGCTGCGTACCTGGGTCTGGCTGCAGGGACACTCCAATGATTCCTGAGCTCGGAGGCTACAGTGGCCAGAGAAGCCTCTCCCCTCTCTGGGCTCTCACTTCCTCGTTTGTAAGTGGGGGCTGGGAGTCATTGCTGGGGCCCTGCTGGTTGCAGTTGCTTTGCAGAAGTTATGAAAAAAGGGAAATGCATTTTGCTCTCTCCCACTGCCTTCCTCCATACCCCCTGTTCCCCTTCAGGTGCTGGTTCAGTGAACTAGGAAGTATTTCTGTATGAGTTCATGCTAAAGGGTGACTGCTCATTGGTGTGGTCTGAACCTCCTTTCCCTGGCTGTCCCACTGTGCATGTGGCCATCTTTGCCAGCCCCTCCCTCTTCCACTTGACAAACTTTGGGTCCCAGGGAAAAATGATGAGGGTTCCCCAAGTTCTATTGGTAGCATGGCTTGCTAGTATGGGTGCCACAGCCCTCAGCTGATCCAGACTCCCGTCTTCTCAGCCTGGAACTCGAACATCATGCTAGACAGGCTTTTATATGACTGGACACTCTTGCCAAGACCTTGCAAAGAGCATAAATGACTGGCCACACGGTGAAGCTGGGAAGTTGGGTTCTGCTGACCAGCTTGAACCCAAATCTGAGGTCTAGGAACCCTGATCCTCACCCTGGGCTCCAGCCACAAGGCTTCTTCCTTCTGGGCCTCCTGGGACTGAAGAGGTCAGGGGTGGTTGGCTTCCACTGGAGTCCAGGGGTTTGGAAGTGGGCTCTGGCCTTAGCCCAGCCCCTGCTCTGTTAGTGATCTTGGAAAATGGGGCTGGGCAGATTAGCACAATTTAGCAGTCAGACAGGGATGGTGCTCCCACTCCTGGGTTGTCATCTGTAGTGTAGACAAGGATGGCACCCTGCCGCAGCAAAATTGGGTGCCAACACTGGTCCAGTCCAAATGCACTGGAAGCTTGGGGGAAATCCCCATTGGGCCTGCTGATCTGGGCTGACAGCTTGGTCGTCATTTCCTGGCCTTTGCTCTACACAAAGAGGCCTTATAAGGAGAGAGGCTGGGGAGGCAGCCATTGTGGAAGCAGTGTGCTTGTGTGTGTACAAGGCTGAACGTGCATGAATATTTGTGGCCTGAGCCTGGGCTGCTGAGAAAGTGATATTCACTTTGGTCTTTACAGATGAGTAGGACGTTGCTGCATAGAACAGGGGTGGGCATTGAGTGCCTGGAGAGAATGGCTCACAGGTGTGAAGTGTGGACAGAACTGGCCTTGAAGGTACATGACGCACATGCCCAGGAAGCAGCCTTCCCTGCAGAGGGAACAGCATGTGCGAAGGCCAGTTCTGCATGCTCCAGGCACAGATATGGCTGAGGGCAGTAAGCTCCACATGAAGAACTGGCAGGGGGGCCTTGCCCACCCTCACAGCCAGGAGTGAGGGGGTAGCCTGAGAGGTCAGTTGCTGGGAGGAGCCAACCAGTCCTGGGCAGAAATGTGCAGAGCAGGATGAGGGGGGGTAAGGGCAAAGGGAGGCTGTGGGTGACCCACCTGCATGTGGACACCACCCCTCCTCAGGCCCAGCCCGCCCCTGCAGCAGAGCCAGCAGGTGGGAGGAGGCTGGGGATGCGCAGGCACTAAGCTTGGGGCTGGGCCAGTGAGCCATGGCCCCTCTCCAGGTGGGAGGTCCAAAGGCTGCTGCAGTGAGGCCTGAAGCTTCAGGTTTGGGTCCAGTGTCCCTCCTCCAGGCACCTAGCTGCCCTCTGAACTCTCCTTCACCTCACATTCAGGCCACCCCAGGACTCCAAAGACCTAACCACCCACTTCATCCTCCAGCCTCAGAAGCAGCAAATGGGTTTTTTTGATGAGAATGGAATCCGTCTGTCTGCTGTGCACCCCACGCAGGCCTCTACAGACCTGCCCCCTCACCATGTCCTCTCCCCATCCGGAAGAGAGTGGGGAAGAGCAGGGCCCTGGGTGTGGAGGGCACTGGTCTCAGTTTTTGAGATTGTTTCATTTCATCCTCACCCCATTCTGGGATTGAGCTCTATCTGTGAGAAAACTGAGGCACGGATAGATGACGGGTGATGGCCTGTCTGGTGCAGGGTCCCAGAACACCCTACTCACAGTGGCGGCTTCACCCACATCCCCATATCCCCCACTCCCGTGCCATCCTTTGTCTGTTCCCTGGAGCCTCTGAGTGAATGAAGCAAGGCACCAGGCCAGAGCTGGGAGGCAGACGGGCCTCCCGTGAGGTCAGTTAAGGCCTGGTTGGGGATGGGCCGGGCTGACTTGGGCTCTCCCCCTTCTTGGGCACAGGAGCTGAGAAGCCATGGCCTACCACAGCTTCCTGGTAGAGCCCATCAGCTGCCACGCCTGGAACAAGGACCGCACACGTGAGTGCCCTCCATCCTCCAGAGCACATGTGGGCATTGAGCAGCCAGGCACCCTGGATTTGTGGGCTCTGTGAGGGCCAACTGTCCCTCTCCTTCATCCCCAGTCCTGGGTGTTTAGGAGGGAAGGGATGAGCAGCTCTGGGACAAGCAGGGGCAGCCAGGCCAGTGGGCATTGAGGGGCGGAGGTGAGAGCAGGACCTGCACAGGCCAGGCTGTAGGTGCAGGGGCTCCCAGGCTGGGGGAGGGGCTGGGTTGAGAACCAAAGACATAACCTGCAATGGCAGGTAGTGAGATGAGCTTTGAAGGACAGCACATGGGGTAAGGGAAAGCAGTGGGGGCAGAGGTGTTGGTTTAGAAAAGGTGGCCGGGGAAGACCTTTTGAAGGAAGTGACATTTGTACAAAGATCCTAAAAGAGAGGAGGGAGAGGCAGGCACAGAGGCCCTGAGGTGGGAGAGCAAGGAAACCTGAGGTGAAGGAGAGGTGGCTGGAGTTGAGAGCAGAGTGCAGTAGCAGGGGACCGGGAGAAGTTCCCAGAGGTCTGCTGTGGGGACGTCCAAGGTGGTACAGGTGAAGGGTGGCCAGTCCCTGGGGAAGTGTCAGCGGGGGAGCCCAGCAGGGCTTGAGGGAGTTCAGGAGACCCCTCTTAGGCAGAGGAGTCCAGGTCTCAAAGGATACAGTGTTGCCCAGGTGGTCTATGAAGGGTGTTCCTGGTAGAGGGGAGTCGTGAGGGCGGGAGGGAACCTGGCCACGTGTGCATCGTCCATCTCCCCACACCCTGCTTGTCTTCCCTGCAGAGATTGCCATCTGCCCCAACAACCATGAGGTGCACATCTATGAAAAAAGCGGAGGCAAATGGGTCAAGGTGCATGAACTCAAGGAGCACAATGGACAGGTGACAGGTGGGTCAGGCCAGCTGGGACCAGCCTCCTGAGAGGAGGCAGGGGGTTGGTGTGGTCAACCAGTGCCATCCATCCACTCACTGTGTTGGTAAGGATAGTTTGGGCTGTAAGTAACACAACTCTGATTCAAAGTGGCTTAAGATATAAAAGGATTGTGTTGGTTCCTGTTATTGTAAAACTCAGAGTTTGTGGGCTTTGGGAAAAGTTTGATCCTGCAGCTCAACATCACTGAACACATTTCTTTTCTGTCTTTTGGCTTGGCCTTCCAGCATGTTTGGTGATAGTTGCGGGAGCTGTAACACTGCTCCCCCCACCCCAAGAAGCTCTAGTAGCATCCCCCCGGGCAGCTTTCATTCAGATTGTGACCTCTGGACCCCTCCTATGTAGACACTGTAGAGTCAGCCACCTCTGCTTAGTTCACTTCAACCTAGTGTCCCCTCCCCATCCCACAGGCATTGACTGGGCTCCTGAGAGTAACCGCATTGTGACTTGTGGCACAGACCGCAATGCTTACGTGTGGACACTGAAGGGCCACACATGGAAGCCCACACTCGTCATCCTGCGGATCAACCGGGCTGCTCGCTGTGTGCGCTGGGCCCCCAACGAGAACAAGTTCGCTGTGGGCAGCGGCTCCCGTGTCATCTCCATCTGCTATTTTGAGCAGGAAAATGACTGGTGGGTGCCTGGGAGGGGCCTGAGTGGGCTGTGAGGTACCCTGGGCTGCAGACCAACAGGTGGTAGGACTAGAGTGTCCCAGAAAGCACCAGAGGTGGTTTTGGGCCCCCTGTTCACGTTACCCTAGAGAATTGTGTCCTCTCTGGACCCTGTAGGTGAGACCAGGGGCTCTGCACAGCACTGGGTGCTCCCACAGCCCTATTTCAGTAACAAGGAAGGGCACAGAACACTCCACGTTGCCTCTATAGTGATCAGATTAAGCTCTGCACATATATTGGCCTTGGCTTCCTCACAGCCCCCTGGACTGGCATCTGTTGTTCTCCATACTTCACAGATGAGCAGAGTGTGGCCCTGAGGCAAAGTCACTTGCCCGAGGTAACCAGACACAAGCTTCCAGTCACATCATAATCTTCTCCGCTGGGTCTCTGAGAGCACAGGCCAGGCAGGAGCTCAGGCTGGAGTCTGGGAGACCCAAGTTCAAATCCCACTCTAGCCAGTTAGCAGCTTCGCTGAGCCTGCCCAGGTTGTGAGGTTTAAAAGAGACCAGGGATAAAGTTCCCACACACTACTGGGTTGAACTTGGCCCTGGCAAGCCATTGGGCTGACAGTGCCCAGACCCCTCCCTCTTGGGATCTCCGTGGTCTGCAGGGCCCGGTCAGAGCCTGGAGTTCCCGGGGCACCAAGGCCAGCGGGTTACCCACCTGTCTGTCCCTCTCTCTCCCTACCTGTCCGACTGCCGTATCCAGGTGGGTGTGCAAGCACATCAAGAAGCCCATTCGTTCCACTGTGCTCAGCCTGGACTGGCACCCCAACAACGTGCTCCTGGCCGCAGGCTCCTGCGACTTCAAGTGCAGGTGAGAAGGCAGGGCCCTGACATCAGTGCAGGAACAGGGATTGGAAGGTGAAGGGAAGCCCCCTCCTGGGGGCCTCAGTCGAGCATCTGTGAGGTTGTGCTCTTGGGAGGATCATCAGTGGGTCTTGTCTCCAGCCCTTGGAGAGTCTTAGTCTCTTTCTGCCTCCTACTGCCAGCATGGTTTCTCTCCTGGGCCTTCCTCTCCTGCTTCAGTAGAACCTCCCACCTCTTCAGTTTCCCAGCTTCTGTCTAAGGAAAATGAGTGGGTATACTTTTTCACACAGAGCTATAAGTGACTGATTAGCTGGGACAAACCCTCATTATCTTAAGGCCTGGAATGTCATTTCCAGTAGCCACGGGCTGTTTTTCACTTCTGGGTTCAGTAGCCCCAAGCCTCCCAAGACCTCCAACTCCCAGCACCAGGCAGATGGCCTGGGTCCCTGAATCTCCTCCTGGGAAACAAGGCTACTGCAGGCTCTGGAGGTCCCTTCGGAAGCCCTGGGCACAGGGAGGATGATGTCCTGATGAGGCTGTATTGGTGGGTAGGGGGCTGGTTTGTTGGCACCCTGACCTGTCAGTTGACCCCATGCTGCCTCTGGAATGCAGAGAAGAGGATTAATGTGTGAGGGAGCAGCAGTGTGCAGGGTAGAGCTGGCAGGACAAGGGGCAGGACAGGTTCAAGGTGCAGAATAAGGGGGAGGAAGGGCACCAAGGGGCTGGCAGTGGACGAGTGGCCTGCACGATGGAGACCAGGACACCCGTTGGCAGCATGTCACCAGTGGATGGTCAGTCCTCAGGTAAGGACCCCAAGGGCCCTAGGAGTTCACAGGACAATGAGCTGGGAGAACTCCTGGCCCCACTCCATTGCACAAACAGGGCACTAAGGCCCAGACTTGATTGTGTGAAGATGCAGGCCATGAAAAGCTGGCTCTGATACCGTAAGCTCCTAGCCAGTTGCTCTGACCTCACCAGGCTTCTTTGAGACAGGGTGTCTCTTGTTGGTGCCCTTCTCAGACCCCTCAGTCACCCTTTTTTGGGGGGTGGGGGGCTTTGTGGGTAGGATCTTCTCAGCCTACATAAAGGAGGTGGAGGAGCGACCAGCACCCACTCCATGGGGCTCCAAGATGCCCTTCGGGGAGCTGATGTTCGAGTCTAGCAGTAGCTGCGGCTGGGTGCACGGTGTCTGCTTTTCAGCAAGCGGCAGCCGTGTGGCCTGGGTCAGCCATGACAGCACCGTGTGCCTGGCCGATGCCGACAAGAAGATGGCGTGAGTACAGGCCACCCAAGGGGAAGACAACCAAGGCATAGAGCAGGAAGGGCCGGTGTGGCTGATACCTCTCTCTCTCACTCAGAGTCGCAACTCTGGCCTCTGAAACGCTGCCACTGCTGGCCCTGACCTTCATCACAGAAAACAGTCTGGTCGCTGCGGTAAGGAAGGAGGGAAGGAGGGAAGCAGTGGCCCTTTAGAGCAGGTCTCCCAGCAAGCCCACAGATGCCCAGGGCTTTTGTTCTCTGTCTCCCTCCCTTCCTTTCATCCATCCATCCACCCATCCTTTCATCCATATATCTGTATTGATCAAAATAGGTTGCATTATGCTATAGTAACAAAAAAATTCCCCAAATGCAGGGGCTTGCTTGCTTGCTCATTTTATATGTCCACTGTGGATATTGTGAAGGGGGGGGTCTGCTCAGTGCAGATGGAGGCTTTGTCACTAACATGCTCCCCCAAATGCCATGGAGAGAGAAGGGGGAAGGGGAGCACATGCCTTGAATGGATCCTGACATCTCTGCTTATTTTCTTGGCCAGTGGAAATGACAGGGCCATGCCTAACTCAGAGTAGGTCTGTGGGGGAATACAGTTCTACCGTGTGTCCAGAAGGGCACTACTGCTCTCCCTCCTCCTGCCCACCTATCCAGTTCCTTTTCACCCCTCAGCAAACATAACGGGAGTTCCAGAGGGAGAGCAGGGTTGTTTAACCTAGAGAAGCTATAGCTATGGGGGTCCCTTCCAGAGCAGGTGCAACCTGCTGGTTAGGACAGAAGGCTCCTGGGCTCCCAGAGTCCCAAACAAGCCTTCTTATCTAGTCGCTGGCTTTGCTGAGGTAGGATCCACCCCTATATGCTCACCCCCAACCTCTAGTTCTGCTGCCTGGGGTTGGCCTGGCTGTATCTGCACACAGGTGTCAGCTTCCCCATAGCTCCTCCACCCAAGTCCCACATCCAGCGACCGGGGTCACATGACTCATGGCCCAATGCCCCTTGGCGGCACACCTTGCCTCCAGCTTCGGTTTCTCTGGGCAGAAAATGGGGGCACTGCGGGCACTGTGCCTGCCCTCGGCCTGTGCTCAGGTAGCACCCCACCCTCACTCACTACAGGGCCATGACTGCTTCCCAGTGCTTTTTACCTACGATGGCGCTGCAGGGACACTGAGCTTTGGTGGGCGGCTGGATGTGCCCAAGCAAAGCTCACAGCGCGGCTTGACAGCCCGCGAGCGCTTCCAGAACCTGGACAAGAAGGCAAGTTCCGAGGGCAGCATCTCTGGCGGGGCGCTAGACTCGCTGCACAAGAACAGCGTCAGGTAAGAGTGGGCCTGGGGCGGGGAGAGGAAGGCCTGGGGTGGGACCTGGATTCATTGCACAAAAAAGGAGGCAGATGAGAGCAGTGCCTGAGGAGTAGGAAGGGGCCTGGACGGGGTGAGGCTGGGAGCGGCTGATCTGGGCTCAACTCTGCAGCATGAAGGTGCAAGCCCTGATGTAGGGATCCAGGTTGACCTTTTCAGCTTGCATAAAAATGGCATCAGGTGAGGACAGAGCAGCTAGCCTGTCTGCATTTGTAGAACATGGTTGTGAGGGGACCATCATAGGGGTGGGGCCTTTCGTTTTCTGGGGATGGCCAGGCAGTGACCAGCTGGCTTATAGGCAGGGCCATAGTTAAAGCAGGTCTAGTGCTAGAAACTAGTCCACTGGTAGTGGAACTAAGGGTGAGACTACAGCCTCCTTGAGGAACTAGGGTGGGATGAAGGGAAGACCCTCCAAAACTTCCAAATCCTACCAGCCACTGGTATCCGCCCCTTGGCAAATACACAACTGTGGCAAGACTTTCTGACCAAGTCAGTTAAACCCTCCTGTGGCTGCCAAGTCCAGTGTTCTCTTCAGACCAAACACCTTTGCCTGGCTTTCAAAGCTCTTTGGAACTAGGTCCTTGACCTCCCAGCCCCATCTTTTATTTTCCCCCATTGAGCCACCCTGCCATCACCACGCGCATTCTCCAGACACCTGCCCTTCGTGCCCTGCCCAGGCCTTTGTGTGCCCTGTTCCAGTTGCCTGGGCTGCCCTTTGCACCTTTCACACTACTGCTGTTTCTAAAGCAGACTTGTGAGCCCCGTTCTGTCATCCTGGACAACCTGCCTCCCAGGCTTTCCCTTTGAGGCCTACCCTAGCACTTCTGCCTGAAATCAGCACCCCCCGGAGCTCCCAGAGGGCAGAGGGGACTTGAGTCCAGCACAGACACAGACTGGGATCCATGAAGCCCTCATTCTCTTTGCAGTCAGATCTCGGTGCTCACTGGGGGCAAGGCCAAGTGTTCGCAGTTCTGCACTACTGGCATGGACGGTGGCATGAGCATCTGGGATGTGAAGGTGAGGCTCCCTCTCCCCATCCCCTTCTCCCTGGTAGCAGTCCTTCATTCCTGCAGGAGAAAGGCACTTTAATGGAATGAGGTGGAGGGATGAGAGGCAGCCCCTTGACAGCTGGGCTCTGCAGGCTCTGGAGTACCTCCTTAGGGCTGGGATTCGCACCCAGGCCTGCTGGACCCCAAAAACCACGTGTTCTGTCCTGCCTGGCTGGGGCAGGTGTGGGCCAGGTCCCTGCAGGTAGGATATCCACAGGACAGCTGAGAACCAGCCTGTTCTGTTCATCTCCTTCCAGAGCTTGGAATCAGCCTTGAAGGACCTCAAGATCAAATGACCCGTGAGGAGAATGTTGGCCTCAGCCCAGCTCCTGAGGGAGGGATCAGGGAAGCTAAAGCTCGCTTTGCTAAATGTTTCTAGGGTACCAGTTTGGATCCCCACAGGGGAGAAGGAGGGGAGGGGTAGGAAGCTTTTTTTACCTATTTGAAGAAACATGTGCCTTTTCCAACAAATACTTTTCATTTATTGTAAAAAATGTTCCCAAAGCACTCTGCTGGTCATGAATTGCTTCAAAACGTGGAGGTAATAAAAGTACGATTGTACAGATGCCTGCCTGTGTTTCAAAGAAGTTAGTGTTTGCATGGACATTGGTAGCTTATTTTTACTTGCCAGTAAAATTGAGCCATAAACCCAAGAGACTTCCTCCAAATGGTTCCTTTGCCACAGCAGTCCAGCCTGGAGGCTGCCAAGACCCTGCCTTTTCCTTCATTCAGTAGCCATTCTTAAGACGAGTGGTTGCACTTCCAGGTTGATTCTAGGCCTTAATGTCAATCTATTTTTACTCTATTTGATGTTTGCAGTGGTTTTCTGGTAAATGCCTTTGTTTTTTAAGGTATCTTTTCCCTCATTCTTATTTTATTCAGGGGATCATTTTTGTTTAATCACTTACTTTTTATTTACCTACTTATATAATCATGGTTTTTCTCTTTTAATCTAGATAATGAGAGGTTTTCTGCAGACTAGGGTTTGCTGCAGATGCTGGCAGCTGTGGTATCCCCCCTGGGGTGCCCAAGGCTGTTGACCTCCAGCGTGGTCAAGCCCAGGGGTGTGGTAGAGATCGCTGGGAGTCAGGGGCTTGATTCCATCTCCACTATTAAATCCTTCTGACCTCAAGTCAAACCCACAGCTTGGCATCCAGTAACTGATCTCTCAGGACTATGTGCAAAGCGAAGAATGCTGCTGTTCACAAGGCAGGACTGGCACCGTGGCCGAGTCTGCAGGCAGCCCAGGTTATTGTGCTAAGCCAGTGCCCCTGCTGCGATCCACTCCATACTGGGTATTGAGGACTGAGTGCAGTATTGCCTGGCAGTCGTGCTGGGTTATCAGCTACTGGGCTGCTTCCTCCCAGCGCTGAAATCCTAAGGCTGTTACCACCAGGGGGCACCTGGAGGACAGGACAGGCAGATCCAGAGTACTGATGCCAACCTGCTGTGGATGGGGACAGGTCCTTGGCCCCTCTGGCCTAAGATCTCTACTTGGTTAAGGGGAGGGTGCTGACTCCTGTATCCTGAGATCTCTTCAGTTTGCATGCCTGGGGTCCAGCCACCAAACCCTGCTCAGTGTCAATAAAATCTTGTGGGGCAGGCCTGCCTTGAGAGTGACAATGTGCCCTGCTCAGTTTGGGCATAGGGGCCCAAAGATGGATCATGGAACAAGGATTTACGATAATGTCGAGTTTAATCTGTCAAATATACAAGTTTGATTTGTGGAACATGTTTTGCCTGGGTGCTGCACAGTAAACAGAGATGTTTCTTGAAATGATCCATGGATCGGGTTAAGAACGGGCCCTGGCCAGAAGGGTGTAAATGGGGCAGAAAAGGGCACAGGGGAGGCCACGGGATGAGCCATGATCCTCAGGGACCCAGGGGTACAAGCTCCCAGGTGACAGGCCCTGAGAGAGCACCCAGGCAACACAGATGGGCCAGTTGTTGAAAACTCACCAGCACCCCTTACCGTGCAATCTACTGGACAAATGGAAGCTCTTCTTACCCCACCTCCCAAGCACCCCCAACAAGGGTTCTGAATTCTAAAAACAGCAAAAACATTCGAATGGTTACATATGAAATGCTGTCCTGCATCTTTCTGTCTCAAAGACAGCAGCTGCCCCCTCCCCCCAGCCCCCCACCCACCATCCCCCAAACGATTTCTGTGCCAGATGAAGAGGAGGCCCCAGGCCGTGGGGGGACTCCTTGTCTTGAGGGGCTGCTGCAGCGGTGCCAGGGCACAGAGTGGGCGAGACACAGCAGCAGTCCTGGCCTCCATGGCCCAGTTCTCTGGTATCTCCTCCCTCAGGCCACGCTACTTATTCAGGGAGAGCGACTGCATTCGTTTTCCTGACAAAGTTGCGTCATCTTTTGCTGAGGATGGAAAGGGAAGGAAAGAGTAAAGTTAAAACCAGCTCTCCACATATACAACCTCACTCCCAGAATCACAAAACTGTAAGTCTGAAAGGCCTCAGAAAATATTTGTGCAACTGACTCACTGGGAAGATGAAGAGACGGGAGGAGACCTGCCTGATGCCCCCCAGAGGGAGAAGCCACTGAACTCAGCTGTCCAGACATTCTAAGTTTGGGGCCCACTCCATAAAGGCCCACCAACACACAATCCACAACTCAAAGAGAACCCTGTGGAACCCAGTAATTCTAATCTCTCCCCATGGGTTCTGAATTCTCTAAAATCAGCAAGTGTTCGAATAGTTGGGATTTGTGAGGCAAGAAGAGCTGCTAGCAGGGAGTTGGGATAACCAGGTATCTCCAGTGAGGTAACAATGCTCCTGGGCAACTGGTTTCCCATTTCCAGTCCTCAGTTTCCTTGCCTTCTGGTAGGAGGCAAGACAGCAGGATCCCTAGGGTCTCTCATGGTCCCACATGTGGAGAGTGCGTGAGACCAGGAGACAGGAGGACATGAGTCAAACATTCCTATAAACCCAACTAACTCCCACAGCCAACCTGGCCTACAGGAGTCCTCTACCAGCTTTGGCCCCAGTGGAGGGAGGACATAGGGGAAGGACACTTGGGACAGATTTCATCTGAGTCTGCACCATGAAATCCAGCCCACCCTGCACCACCTTCCCAAGCCCCCAGACAGCTGTCCCAGCCACACAACGCACCAGACCTTGGTGGGACTTTTCAGACTTGAAGGTCTACACTTGGTACATCCCTGAGACCTCCCTCAGATGCCATGGACAGTGCTAGGGTTCAAACCCATATCTGACTCCATGCTTCTGCTGGAACCTCCCAGCACCCTAAGGGGGAGGGGGCGGGAACACCCAGTTCCACCTGACAGTGAGGAAGGTGCATACCTACAGGGTAGGCCTCTACCAAACAATCTGACCCCATCCCATTTCACAACCAGGACAGTGAAGTACAGGGTTTGATGCCCAAAACCAGAGCCAGACAATGCTCCAGTGACTCAGGGCTTACCTTTCCTCTCTTCTTCTTTCTTCCTGGCAGCCTCCTCCCGCTGTTTTCGGATGATCGCCAGCCGGGCAAGGTCAGCCTTGGCTTGCTCTGTCTTCCCAGCTAAATGCATTTTCATGTAACGCTCTTTTGCTTTTTGCTTCTCAATTTCTTCTCTGTTTGGATAAAGTGGTGTCAGAGGGGATATCTTCCCACCATTATCAGCTGGATGTGGGAGCCAGAATAAAGGCCAAGTACTCAGGCGTAGAGCCCAAGCGGTGGAAGGCACCCTGGCTAAGGAAGGGGCCCTGGCGCCATGTGCCCATCTTTGATGGACACTCACCAAACACACAGAGGGACAGGCCTGGACCTCTGCACAACAGGCTCAAGGGGCTGGGGGAGGTTCAAGGGGTGTACTCAGCTTCCTCAGATGGAAAATACAGGATAGGAGTGTGCTCAGCACCCGTGACCTTTGAAAACCCTTAACAGTGTAGACTATGGGGTGGTGAGGGGATGGGCACTGTGGTTAACTAGGATCCAGTGTCCATACTGATAAAGGAGAACCAAAACCAAGTGAACCATGTGTCCAGAGATGAACAGAAAGAGGAAGGCAATAGAAAACACATTCTATAAGGTGTGAACCAGGTGACCACAGATGGGAACCAGACACAGCACACAATCAATCAATCAGTACAGCTCAGATGTGCATGAAGCTGCCACCAAGGGGGTAAGCCCCCATAAATGGGGGTGTGAATAAGAGCTGGATTCCCATGGAACAAAGGTGACAGCCACCAAGCAGAAAGAGGAGAGGGTCCTTAGTTTCCCTTTGAGGATCTTCCTCCCAACCCTGAGATTCTGAACTAGAGTGGATGCCCTCCATGGTGTGAGATCAGGGCGTCTCATTTACACCAGGTTCTTCGATGAGCCAGTTCTGGAGGTAGCAGGGAAGTCCTGCCTGGCAGGAGCTCGGGGAAGGGAGTGACTTGGCATCCAGAGGCCCCATTACACACGGCTGGGAGTAATGAAAAACAAGGCATGGAACCTGGCCAGCAGGGAGGGAAAGAAACCCAGCAACCAAAGTCGGTAACAGATGTCTCGCCCAGAAGACTCTGGACTAGACACTTCAAAGATGAAATGGGAATACCGGTCAGTCCAGCAGACCCTCCCCTGGGAGGGAAGAGGGGGGCATGGAGGCATCTAGAATGATAAGCAAAGCTGCCTGAAGGCTCTGCAAGGCCCCCTCAGTGAAACCTAAGTGCCAGGCAGGGTGCGGGCCTCTCATTCTGCAACTCAAAAGGTGGAAGTAGCAATAGGATGCCTTTCTCACTGGTAATAAAGAAGCTACCGGAGTGGGACAGTCCATCACAGCCTCCAGTCAGACCCCATCATGGAACCAGCACAGGAAGGTGAATTTAAATACTAGCAGCCCAATCAGGAGAGAAAACAGGGCCATTTTCCCTAGGGGCATTCAACCTCTTGTAAGTCTCTTGTCAGCTGGTGTCCATCAAAAGTCAGGGCACTACTTGTGGAAAACTGGCTGTGTGCAGGACACTTAGTTACTCAACTGTGATCCTCACACCACCTATGATGAAGCTATCTGCAGCTACATTTCACCTGGGACTTGGAGAGGGCTGGGGCAGCCCATGAATCTCCCTGCACTGCGCTGCCTTCTGGATTCCACAGGCCCCAAATCCTCTCCCCAATCTCCATTGCCATTACAGATGGAAGACATTACAGATGGAAAAAGGCCAGGAATGATGATGATCAGGCTGGATAAGGGAAGTGTCCCTGCCTATGGAGGCAGGAACGGCAGCATAACCCTCTGTAACCCTGGGGATTACTTCAAGTGCAATGCTCAGATCTGAATCTGCTCTTCTATGTTTCTATTGGTGAATTCAAAAATTCTGAATTTTGTTTTGTTTTTTTGAGGAAGCTTCTATAGAGACTTTAGGGAATGAGATGAAACAAATCAACACCACAGCTGGGGCCCCAAGCCAGCCACTGAGGATCTCAGAGCCCAGGAAGTGAGAGCCTCAGAAGAGGTGAATGCCTCAACCCCCCACAGGTCAGCCCCTGGTCTATGTGCCCACAATACCAGGCCCAGCAGCAGAGGTTACCGTTCTCTCCTTGAAAGCTCCTTGGGCCCATCCAGGTCCAGTTGTGTGACCTTTTTGGTTGTCTGTGCCACCCGGTTGGGGTTCTCAATGTCAATAAGGCCTTCCACACCTTTGCGCTTTTGCTAAGACAGGACAAGAAACTGACTGTTGGTGAAGTTCAGGTCCTGAAGAGCCCCTGAAAGCCAGCCCCAACATCTCCCAAAAGTCCATCTGCATGGGGACAAACTCCTGTTCCATCCCCAGCTCAACACAATGCTTGGCCCAAAGCACCACAATGGGAATAGCACTCAGGAGTGTCTTCACCAGCCTGGGAGGTGCAAAGAGAGCAAGCCCACGTGACTAGAGCCCAACCTATACTAAGTCCCAGTAGCCATGGATTATTATCCCAATTCTAAAGATGAGAGAATGGAGACAGAGGATTCAATAACTGGCCTAAAGCCAACCAGTAAGTAGACAATAGGTGAGAAGTGAATCCAAGCCCAACACAAGAGCTCCCCGCACAGAACACTCGCTATGCTATCAGCCTCCAAAAGCAGTTTTCCATGGAATCTCACACCTGACTGCAACAAGCAATGCTGGATCCCCAGAGGAGGATGGGCCAACAACAGTCTCAGGACGAATTCTAATTCCTAGCCATCTACACTCACAGGAGGGAAATACAATTTGATCCATCAGATCATAATCTACAGGTTTGAGAGCTGGCCCAAGAATGTGGAGCCTACACCTCCCACACCCCTGGAGAAGCCGAGAAAGAAATGAGAGCACATGTTCTCAATGTAGGAGATTCGGTCAAAGTTTCAGACCCCATTAAGCCCATGTTTTCACTTCAATAAAGTGACGAGAAAGACAGCGTCTGAGCACTAGTCAATCTGACTACTATACAGAGCTGCAGACGCCTATATCCAACCCGGATGCATATATACACTTCAACTTGGATACCTGACATCACAAAATTAATGTATCTAAAACAGACCTGGAGATTCATCCTCAATCCACCCCGCTCTTCCTCACAGCCCTAAGCATGGCCCTATTCCTTCTTCCCTCCACCACCTCACCTAACCCTCAGCAAACCCTGCTAAGTCTCTCTCTAAAATACAGACTGAATTTGCCCATTTTTCTGCACTGCCATTACCACCACCCTAATATACGTCACAATTCTTGTCTAGATACCTACCAACATCTCCATGCTTCCTACCTTTAATATCCTACAATTCACTCTTTGCAGAGAAGCCAAAACAATCTTTTAAAAGCAAATCTGGTCCTCTCTTTCCAGCTTCAAGACCTCCACCAGCTGCCCACTGCTCACCTTCAGTGAAACCCAAATCCCTTCAACAGCCCCACAGCAGCTGCCTTTGCCAACCTCTCCTCCTTCATCCCTAGTCCCTCTACTCCTTACCCACCAAGCCACAGTCCCACCAACCTCTTTCTATTCCTTAAACATGCTCATGGTATTCCCACCAGGGCCTCTGCACTTGCTAATTTGGCTGTCTTGATCGCTGTGCAGGGCTGGCTCCATCTTGTTTTTGAGATCTCAGTTTAAAAGTCACCTCCTCATCACATGCTACTCCAAGTACCCTCAATCACAGTCCACTACTTGAAATTATACTGTTCATTTACTTCCTTATTGTCTATACAATCATGTGCCCCTTCACGACACAGGGACACAGTCTGAGAAATGCATCGTTAGGCAATTTCATCGTTGTTTGAACATTACAGAGTATACTTACACAAACCTAGATGGTATAGTCCACTACTGAAATTTATGTGCTATATTTACTTTTATGTGACTGACAGTACAGCTTTCTTTACACCAGCATCACCACAAACACATGAGTAATGCGTTGCATCACAATGTTACAATGGCTATGACGTGACTAGGTGGTACGAAATTTTCGGCTCCATTATAATCTTATGGGACTATCCCATAATCTTATGGGACCAACAATGTGGTCCATCATTGATGAAAACATCATTGTGCAGCATATGACTGCATCTCCCATCAGAATGTAAACCCTTAAGAGCAAGGACTCTCTCTGCATCCACAACTGGCACTAGTAATCAACAGGCACTTGATTAAATGTTTGTTGAATGAGTAAGTCCAGGTCCCAGGCCCCGACCAAACTCAGTACCTGGTAATCATCTTCTTCATCCTCACTCTCATCCGAATCTAATGATTTCTTCTCCTTTTTGGGGTCACCTGCAGCCCCATCTCCACTTTCTTCTCCTTGTTCCTCTTCTTCCTGTTTCAGAAATGGACAACCTGCAGAATTAAAAATGCAAAACAAACCCCCAAGACTGTGATGCCTACCCCAACCAACTCCAGACTATGGACTTTGAAAAGGCTGGGACCAAGGAACACAAAAACAAAGGTCCTACTCCAAGACCCTGGCCCCCCTGGGTCAGAGGCAGCCTATACATTTGACTCTGCAGCCTAGAAGCCACCCCTAAAGTCCGGCAAGCCCCTCACGCAGCTATAAAGGCCCTGCTCCCCTTCTCAGGGCAGGAACATCTCCCAGGGTCATAAGGATTCAGCTGCGGGGCTAGAAACTAGTCCTATTCAGCTCCCCTCCTGCTTCCCCAGCTGCCATGTGCAGCTGCCAAACTGTACTTTCTTGGGCAAGTCCTCCCCCACATTCCATTCCCACGATCAGTGGCAGGCCAGTCACTCCAGCCTGCCCCTGCAGATGCCCTGTGCACCGGCTTCCCAAGACAATACCCTGGCACACCACTTCCCTCTACCTTTCTTGCCTCCCCACCAAAGAGATCTCCCACAAAAACTATACATTCTTGCCCCTTTAGCACCAGCACACATTCTCAAAGATCCTGCTCAGCTGCCAGTGCCACCAGGTAGGCCCTCCTTCCTTCTACCCCAGCCTAACTGTGCTCCCTTCAGCCCTGATGCAGATGAGGATCAAACAGTGTAGTAGGGAACATGAACACCAACAATGATGGAAACATTTTGTTTCCTGACAGTGGGCTGGAAAAAGTGCTGTGGAAACAGAGTAGAGGCAACTACTAATCTTGCACTGGAGGGGGGAGGGTAGGTACCACCAATGAGAGTCACAGAAGAGGTGACATTGAGCAAGGTCTGGGGGAACAAATGTTAGTCTGGTAGAGGTGTGGGAAAAGCAGGACATCATGTTATGCTGGGTATGGCAAGCAGTCCTGCACGGCTGGAGCAGACAAGGGGTCGTGCTGGAGCTCAACTTGGGTATGAGAAGAGCCTGACGGTGGGAGAGCCCTGGAAGGTGGGAACACAGGAACAGGAACAGAGACATACACACTAAGGCAACCATTTCTAAGTGAGTGAAGCTCTAATTGATCCAATCAGAGGATGGCTGGCACTGGTTGTTCTGAGACTCCTGCCTATTCCTTGCTGCTCCCCCAAACTCCAGGTGTAGGATTCTTCCTGAAAATGGGTGATCCTTGTCTGGCCTCTCTTGGTGCCAGAGGCAGAGCGCCACCCTGGGACACTGGAATGGCCTAGACGGGTACATACTCACCCTGGCCTTCTGCTTTTCAGCCTGGAGCTGTGCATCGATCTCCTCAGGGCTCGTGTACTGCCGTGCCCGGCCTTTGTGGCCTCCCTTTCTACCTGCAGGAGGATTGGCAGTTTAGGAATGCGGGCAGGAAGTACCTTCCCGACTGCTGAGCCCCAAAGAGGGCTGCGTCCTGCCTGAGGCCCTCTCATCACAGGTTGCAGACCTCACCTACCCCTCACCAGGCACCCAAACCTATACTCCCGCACCCTCACATGTTCAAAGAGACAAAAGAGGTAACAAATGTCCATCTAATGCAGCACTAAACTATGTGCTGGATGCAGGCTCCCACAAACAAGAAATGCAGGGAGGGTATGGGGAAGGAAATACTGCATGTAGTGACTGGCTAAATCCCCTGGTCCCTTAGAATCCAAACAGCAGATTCAGACACAACCATGAGAACATGGAACATGCCCCTGCTGTCACTACAATTTTTTACTTGAAATATTCTGTCACAGCCATGGGCTTATTTGATCCTTAGAACAAACTTATGGTGCAGGACAGTCACAGTGGGTTTCATTTTACAGACAAGCAGACTTAAAATCAAAACAGAGCAGTGAGGAACACACATATGTTGCAGTCAGACCTTGGGGTTCAAATTTGGGCAGGTACTTAACCTCTAAGACTCTCAGCTTTCTCATATGTCCCTACCTCAAGGGTTGTCATGAAGGTAGATTTTAACATATGTAAAGTTGTTGGGACAGAGCCTGGCAATGAAATAAACACTACAAAAATGTTGTAACCATCATTTTTCTATCTATACAGTTTTTGGGGAGGGGGAAGAAAACAAAACCACATAGATGATTTACTGTACCTGTCAGGGAATGCAAAATATTAGGTCAGCCAAAAAGTCCGTTTAGTTTTTTCCATAAGACACATTTTTCATTATCACCAAGAACTTTACTGATTTGGATATTTTGAGTTTGTTGGCTATCTTCCACTATTCATTTCTAGTGGGTAGAAACCAGGGGCACTGCTAAACATTTTCCAATACGTAAGACAGCCCTGAAGCAGAGTTACTTGGCAAAAGTGTCAATAGTACCAAGAAACTTCGCAAACAACTTTTGACACGTTTGATCAGTCACAGCACCTTCTCCATACACTGCACAAACCTTTTTTTGCATTGTAGTTGTGTTTTCACCTTTTTTGAAATAATAAGCCAAAAATGTTGCGTATCTTCTTCCATCTTCAATATTCAAATGGTTGCACAAAATTCATCAATTTTGATTTTTTTTTTAATGCACACTGCTATGATAGCTGTCACAATACAATCGAACAAAATTGTTTCGAATGAGGTTAAAGACAAGTAAGCACTACTAGAGCCATTGTATGGAAAAAACTAAAACTTCTTAGCCAACCCAATACTTAATGTTCACCTAAGTGGTATGATAGACAAAACTTAAAATCTATTGGGGAAAACTTTCTTGTGCTTGAAATAAGAAACATAAAGTTGAAAATAAACCTGACTACTGTCTAAGAGTAAGAGTTAAAAATATGACTAACAAAGTTCATCTGGGAGTATCAGTTTTATAGACTGACCCCTGCTAAAGCATTAAGTCAGTTTTATAGCAAGGTGGCACTCCTTCTGCTGGTCCCAGAGGACACTGGGACCATCCCCACCTTTCCTGAAAGCTATGGTCCACCGGACTTCCAGTGAGTCTCTCACTGATAGCGGAGGATCTCAATATTAAGATAGCCAGAGCTGCTCTGAACTCTAAATACAGCAACATGGATACTGGCCTCCGCTGATTTCCTAGACAGCAGCTGCAGAGTCATAATTGGGCTGCTACAAAGTACCCACCCACTTTTAATGACTACCTGGGTTCCCAGGAGTGTCTCAGTATACGCTCATGAAAGACCTATTGTAAGAGATCAAGCTTGCCATTATAAGAAACCAACACCCTTTCTTGCCCCCTTAGTATTCCAGGCAATTAGTAACAACTCAAAACTGGCTACTACAGGCTCCCATCCTGCACACTTGGCTATGAGATACTGATCTTAGTGTAGTCTATAGTAACTTTTATTAGAAACCCTTCATGCCTCTAAAAATGTTTCATAGTTATATAATGGAAATAAAAGTTGGTTTTGGCTCATGGGGAATTTGATACTTTAACATCTTTGTGTTTTGTTTTACTTTTGAAGCAAATTAACACAAGCAAGAAATAGAAAACTTGTTTACATATAAATCTTTTCACAAGTCAGAAGAGCATGTCATTTAACCAAGAATTCACTTTTAACACTTTCTAACTAACCTCCAAACATGGTTCAAAGTATCTCCTAGAGCCAGAATTCTGGAGTCAGAAGGGCTCACCTAGCATCCTCTTTGTGCACAGCACTAAGGAATATAGAAGCGATACGGCTTTCCCTACCACAGAATAAACCAGAAGATAACTAGGTTTAAATGGATTCAGTTCTGTAAAGTTCAATGTCTCTGGAAGTAGAGTCTAGAAGTCATTTAGGTATGAAAACGCTCCAGGGAGATTTTCCTGAAGGTGGATACATCTCAACCAACATGACACTTGATCTACCAACATTAACTGAACATCTGTTCTGTGCCAGTAGCTAGCCAAGTACTTCAAGTGCTATCATTTTATGACTCCTAACCCCAATTCTCCAACCTATGGGTTATCAGCCAGGTGTTCCAGATGAATAAGACAGGCTGGAAGGAGTTGAATAACTTGTCAAAGCCACAGGCTGGACTTCAAATCGAGAACTGTTGACTCTTATGAGAAAGAGGATGGAGAAGGGTCGACAATGTACTGGGAAGCCATTAGATTCTTTACCTTCCTGGCCAAGGAACAGAAAAAGTCTTACAAAGAACAATAGCTAATGCGTACTAGGCACCTGACTGCCCATCACTGTATCGCACGCTCCACGTGAATTACCTAATTTAAAGTATAGCATCAGTAATATGAGGTAAGTACAATCATAACCCCCTTTGCCAATGAGAAAGCTGAGACATGAGGAGATTAAGCGACTGGCTCAAAGCACAGGTCAAGCCAATGCTGACTGAATGCGGCAGTCAAAGCTGAGTCTGCAACGCTCAAGAGCATCAACTTCTGTCTCACTCGGCAGGCCTGGCTCGCCCAGAGCCCGAGAGGGCCCACGTTTTACACGCGAGGCAGGCGGGCCCTGCACAGGCGCCGGACGCGGTGACTCAGTCCACAGCGAGAATAGAATAAGGAAAGCTCCAAACCCCCCTGTTCCAGGAGAAGCGCGCCCTACATCTGGCCTTGTGCGTCGGGCAAAACCCGGCGCCTCCGAGTCCCTTCAAACCCCCGAGGGAGTGGCTCGAGGCCACTATAGTCCTCTCTCCATCGAGACAATTAGGCGTCGAGGCCCAATTGCCTGGCCATCAGCTGGCACGGACATCCTCCCTCTGCGTCTCTCTCCGAGACGGGCGCAGGCTCAGTGGACAGCAGGAGCCAGACTCGGGCCGCTCCTCGAGGCCCGCCGGCCACGCGCGCCCGCTCCTCACCTCCTTTAGGCATCGCGGCTCCGGCGGCTGCGGCGGCGGCGCCTTGCACTGACACCGGAACCAGAAATACCAGGAGATCGACTTCTTCCGCCCAGCCCAGTGTCCTCAGAGCGCCGCCGCCGCCACAAGGACTGGGCAACACAGGGAGGCCGGTGCTCGGAGCTGGGCTGTCCCGCGTGCCGCCTGATTCCAGGCTCGCACGCGCGCTGCCGGGCAACGGTACCCCCAGCCTCCCCGCCTGAGGAGACGCGTAAGTCGGATGGTCAACCCCTGGAAAGTGAGGACCAAAAAAAAAAGCAACAATGATTTTGGTATTCTGTACAGGCAGAGCTTCGGACACATAAGATGACGCAATATTTGCGCGTAGTGGGGCGGGGCTCCGCAAGGCCCTCATCCTGAAGTGATCACCTGGGAAGCGGAAGCAGTAGAGAAAGAAGCGGCGGCCGAAGACGTTAAAGGTTCAGGTGGGTGTTTTTGATCTGTTCTCAAGTACCTTGGTAATGGCTAGGGCCAGATATCGGAGGTCTGCACTGGCCCGGAGAGCGATATGAGTGGCTGGAGTGGAACAAGTTCGGGTTTCGGGAATGGGAGGTCGTGGTGAGAACCAGAGAAGAGGCGGTATCTCGCCCGTTCTGCAGAGGGGATGGGAGTTTGGGGGGTCCTTGTTTCTATCTTTCCCCGTCCCCACACACGCTGTTTTCTCTACTGAGAAAGTTTTCTGCCTAAAAACTGCTTGTTCTTATAAGCTTGGTTCAGATGCCGTCGTTCTGTAAGCCTTTACTCCAGTCCTGGATGTAACATCTTCCCTCTTTTCCTTCGAAAGCCTTCCCACTCGTCGCCTCTGCCAAAGGCCACTGCCGATCTTAGACCTCCTGATATCTCTTCTTGATCTAGTTTACCTCCTACCTGTACCTCCCCTGGAAGGTCTCCTCTGACTCCAGGGCTGGGCCAGGGCCCTCGAATTTCTCTGGGTTATGGCAGAGTGGTTATTCCCGTGTCTTTGTCCTCCCAGCCCTTGAGCGCCAAGGCAGGAACCGGATTCCATCCATCTCTGGCTTTAACGTAGGGGAGACAGGCGCAAACACCACTGACTTGGGATTCAGGAGTCCCCAGTCAGAGTCAGACGCTGCCAGTTCCCAGCTGTGCGACCTTGACTTTACCTTTTGGTATTTAGTTCCTCATCTGTATGGTTGTTATGGAGAATTCATGAAAGGAAACCGTGAGGGTTGGCGGCGGGGGGGCGGGGGGGGGACTTTGTAAACTGTCGTGCGTCCTACAGAAGGGAGGGGCTGAATGAATTTGAGAGAGAGTAGTCTGCTGTACTTAACGGTAAGAGATAACTTGAGTTCTCCGCCAGCTAAGAAACGTTATGAGGTTTGAAAAAAGAAACTTTTCTATTTACATTTGGGCTGGACAATTATATGGGCTTTACATGACTTTCCTGTAGGTAGTATGTTTGCTGAGTTTAAAAAGGGACCTTGGTGCCCCAAGCAAGTGGCTGTTGATTGGAATGTTGTCCTGTGCACCAAGAGACTGCAGGTTCTATTCCCGGTTTGGGCACATATACCTAGGTTTCAGGTTTAATCCCCTGTCAAGACATGTATGAGAGGCAATTGATGTTTCTTTCCCTCTCCCTTCCTCTCTCTCTAAAATCAGTGAAAGCATATCCTTGGGTGAGGATTTAAAAAAAATTTAAAAAGAGACCTTGGCAATCCAGCTAATCCACCACCCTCATTTTACAGATGAGACTGAGGACCAGAGAGAGAATGTGACTTCCCAAAGTCACATTATTTGGTAGAGCTGGACAAGAACCTGAGCCTGTAACTGAAGAGACCAGAGATCTTTCAGTTACAATCTTGGGAAACAGCCCTAAGGTACTTGGGTTTTACATGGTCTTTTTCCTTTTTAAACTCTCATCCTCTCATTTCCCCCCATTCATAGTTCTTGAATTGTTGACTTTTTATTTTCTTTCTCCTTCCTAGATTGTTACCTTCTCAGGGACAGAGGTTGTATCTCATTCTTTGTTCTATGTTCCCAATATCCAGTACAAGACCAGGCTAATAGTTGGTGTCAGTAATTAATGACAACCTCAAAAACCTACTAAGCTCCCATTAAAAGCCAGGCATGTTGCATACAATTAATTATGTCTTCCCAACGACTCTATAATGTAGGTTCTATAACCCTATTTTATAGCTGCGATAACAGAGATAGAGAAGTGAATATGCCCCACAATGGAGGCAGGTGAAGGCCTTTGGATATCTGAGGGTCAGAAACTAATTTACTTAGTTTTTCCTCCCAGATCTTTGCAGATTATCTTGTGGGGAAAAATGCCTAAAGTCAAAAGAAGCCGGAAAGCTCCACCAGATGGCTGGGAGTTGATCGAGCCAACACTGGATGAGTTAGATCAAAAGATGAGAGAAGGTGAGTAGGGAAATTCCTGTCTGGTGGGCTGCATCCAAGGGTCACTGGCTTAGAGAGATGCCTCTATGAATCAGCCATAAATGCATGTATAAACACACAAAGAGACAGGGGGCACCACTGGGGCCCCCTGACACTGACATATTTTGTTTGCTTTATAATTCATAGGAATACAATGTCAAAAAGTAAGATAACACTAATGAAAAGGGCCTCAAGAACATTTTGGGGCCAATTTGCATATAAAAGCTTTAGGGAATATAGAGCAAATAGTTTGCCTGTAATTACTATTTTGATTGGATCTATTTAAAGTCATACAAAATGTATTTATTTACTTGCAAAATCCTATTCTTTTCACTTTTTTCTGTAACATTTTTATTCAGACTTTTTCCTTATGGGTTTCTGACCCTATTTTCATCATCTTTGTTTCTGCGTCATCTACCAGTTCTCCAGAAGGCACCATCTTCACTTCCCTCTAAATGTATGATTCTGCACTTGTGAATCAGTGTAGTGTACTGTTTTTTGAAATTTAATTAGAAGCCACAAGCATCTGTTGGCCTTATATGATCACCATGTAACCATTCATTAAATTTCTTTTTTTTTAATCCCCACCTGAGGATATGTTTATTGATTTGAGAGAGAGAGGAAGGGGGGGAGAGAGAGAGAGAATCAACAATATGAAAGAGAAACAATGATCAGTTGGCTTCTGAATGCACCCCGACTGGGTATTGAACCCCCAACCTGGATATGTACCCACAACCTTTCAGTGTATGACACAACACTCCAACCAACTGAGCTACTGTGGCAGGGCCTAAATAGCTTCTTAAAGTGATATTTTTTTTTTTTTTTTTAAAGTTTGAGGTAACTAGCCATTGTTATTGTGGAATCATACCACCAGCAGTAATTACTAAATCAGTGTTAAATTACTTTGCCTTCATTTTCCAAAACCTCTATTGAATACCCGGAACTTAAAGTAATTGAGATCATTTTGGGCTGAGAGATTTCTTCCCCAAACAGATCTTTATTCAGAATAAAGGGACTTGGAGAGTACTGTAATAGATGAGATTTTATTAGTCCTTAAAAATAAATCTTCCTTTTTTAAGGTATGACTTTTGGGGGGAGCGTATTTAGACATATATGGTCTTTACCTCCAAAAGGAGTATTCTTTCTCCCATTTTTACTTAACCATGTAGCCCTTCAACATTTCTTTGCTTTCCCAATTTACTCTTACTTCTACTATAAAGAAAACAGAGTGGGTGGCAGGTGGTACCAAACTTGGCTTTGGTGTTGGGAACCATAGGAAGCTCTAGGGATGTGGGCACACTGGAGAGGGGCAGAAGCTGCTCTTTCTGAGCCCATTTTACCATATTGAATACAGCCTGAGTATTACCCAATTTGCTAAATTTTTTTTTCTCCCAAGAGAAGCAGGAAATCTAGCTACTTTATGTAAACTCTTCTAATTTAAAATTCAAACTTAAAAAAGACTTTGTGGGAGGAGCCAAACAAAACCTATCTTTAGCCTGGCTGGGGCTGTCAGCTTCCAGTTTGTAGCCTGCAGTGCAAGTTTGTTCTATTAACAATTTTTTCTTAAATTTTACTTATTTTCTGAGAGGGGAAGGGATGAAGAAAGAAAGGGAGAAAAACATTCATGTGCAAAAGAAATGTCAATCAATTGCCTCTCACACACCCCCAACTGGGACCTGGCCTGTGGGCCAGCACATGAGCCACACCACTCAGGGCAGCCAGTGCATGTTTTGCCTGTGGAATCTGTCACCATGCTTTCAGGCTATAGAAGACCCCTGTGTGGCCTTTGCCACAGAGAGGCCCAAAGCTAGTGGCATTTCCAGGCCTGTTCTCTTGATCTGAGGGCCATTTACAAAACATTTCACACTTACGGAAGCAATTGGCACTGTTATCTTAGAAGGGAAGATTTCAACACAACTCCTCAGCTCTTCAGATGTCTCTTAGCTCATTATTTAAGTTTTTGTGTAGCCACTGTTGCGCTGTAAGTCCCTCCAAAGATGGCCCAATAATAAAGACTGAGGGTCAGAGATGGAGGAAATTATATGTGGCAGAGGATTTTATAGGGATTTACAAAGGCATTATCTCTATGGACTGTAACCAGGACTTGTAAATAATTTTGTTTTTATAAGAGCTTTAAACTAGTTGAAGCCCTGGCTGGGAGGTTCAGTTGGTTGGGGCGTCATCCTGTACACCAAAAAGCTGGGGGTTCAATTTCCCATCAGGGCACAAAGGGGAGTCAACTGATCAGTGTTTCTATCTCCTCTCTCTCCCTGCCTCTTTCCCATCCCCCTACCCCCTTCTCTCTCAAGAAAAAAAAAAATCAATAAAAACATATCCTCAGGTGAGGGTTTTAAAAAATTATAAACTAGTTGAAAATTGAGCATAATCAACATTTGCATAATAAACATTTAATTAGACCTTTGAGAATAGAACTTTAAAAGAATTGTTGCCTAGGAGTTTTTGTTTTTTAATTGATTTATTTTTAGAGAGATGAAAGGAGGGAGAAAGAGAGGGAGAGAAACATTGATGTGAGAGGGAAACACCAACTGCCTCTCATACATGCCCTGACTAGGCACTGAACCCGCAACCCAGACATGTGCCCTGACTGGGAATTGAACTGGCAACCCTTCGCTTTGCAGGACAACACTCAACCAACTGAGCCACACCGATCAGGGCTTCTTGCCCAGGTTTTGAAGTTAATGGGCAATTTTTGGTATTAGCCAAAAGGCAAAAAAAACCTAAGTCCCCTATAGCATGATGTCCCCCACTTCTAGCCTCTTTTCATATCCTCATAGTGACAGGACTTCATAGTGCCCACTGAAAACTGCCTTCCACTTTTGTGCGAACCTATGCAAAATAACATCCAAGAATGTTCATATTAGCTTGTCAAAAATGGGTCCAAAGGGGGATTGTTGAAATGTGTGATGCTATGACTAAAAAGATTGAGTGAAGACTCAAAAACAGGAGGGTTCTACTTCCAGGATGGCATCTGAAGGAGCTCCATGCCCCTGCATTTCCCTCGGTGGTCTCATCTATCCACATTGCTTTCTGCACTCTCTACCCAGGTTACCAAATGATTTCTCCAGCCTTGACTCCACACTAGACTGTACCAGCTGTCTGTTGGATGGCCCCATTTAGGTATCTAAAAACTTCCCAAACTTAACATGTCTAGAACTAAATCCTGATTCACCCACCCCAGAACTGCTTCCCTTCTCAGGCCATGAACTGTGAAGCTGTCCTTAACTACCCTCTTTCTTTTATTTCTGTACAAGCATCGAGGACATCCAGACTCCTACAAAGGGTGGCAGAACAACGGGGGAAAATTGTTACAGATAAATAAGACTTGAGACAAGTCAACCAAACACAACATCTGGACATTGTTTAGATCTTAATTCAGACACAGAGTTGTCAACAAGTATTTTTGAGGTATTCAGTGAAAATTGAATGTGGATTATAGGATCCTAATAAGAAATAATGATTGATTTTGTTGTGTGAGATATTGGTGTTACAGATATCAGTATGTAGAGACACATGTATTTATGAGTGTGATGCTCAATGTGTGAGGTTCATTTTAAAATACTCCTATCCCCCGACTCCCAAAAGTGGGGAGTACAGACCCTGAACTGGTGTGGCTCCGTGGGTTAGGTGTCATCCTACAAAGGTCTCCAGTTCAATTCCCAGTCAGGGCACATGACTGAGTTGAGGGCCAGGTCCCTGGTCAGAGGCACGCAAGACACAACCAATTGATGTTTCTCTCCCTCTCCTCCCTCCCTTCCCCTTTCTCTGAATAAATTAAAATCTTTTTTTTTTAAATATTAAAAATAAACTATGTTGCCTTTTTAAAAAAAATAAAAACGGGGAGAACAGGGCAAAATTAAACTAGCTGTTAGTAGTTCTTGAAGCTGAGGGGTAAGTACTTTGAAGTTGAGTAAACTGTTTTCTCGTGTATAATTGAAATTATTCATAGTGAACTCTTAGAAAATTCATTTATCTAAAATCTGATGCCTTTGATCCCATCTACCCCTACCACCTGGTTCAAGCTACCCTTGCCTCTCATCTGGATTACTGTAATAGCCTCCTGCTTCTCTCCCTGCAGTTTTCTCCGCAGGACAGCCAGAGTGAGGATTTTAAGTCATAAGCCAGGTTATATCGCTGTCTGCCCAGGACCTTCCAGTGGTTCACCTCCCCATCAGAGCAAAACCAAAGCCCTATGGTCTTTCAGGTCAAACATCTTCTCACCCCCAGCTCTTGAGCCCCATCACCTACCTCTCTTCCTCCCTTACCTTCCCAAACCCTCAGCCACCCTGCTGTTCTTTGATCCCCACGTACCTGCCTCAGGGCCTTTGTGTTGCTATTGGCTCTGCCTCTCAAGCATGTTTGCCCCTCATTTTTCTTTTTTTAAATTGAGATATTGACATAAAACATTGGTTTTAGTTGTACAACGTAATGATTTGATATATGTATACCTATATTGCAAAATGACTACCAGGATAAGTTTAGTATTAATAAATATCCCCTCACATAGTTACTGTGTGTGTGTGTGTGTGTGTGTGGAACATTTGAGATCAACTGTCTTATCAACTTCAAATGTACAATATAATGTTGTTAACTATATTCACCATGCTGCACATTACATCTCAGGACTTAATTATCTTGTAACTTGAAGTTTGTACACCTTTTGACCACCTTCACTCATTTTGCCTACCTCCCAGCCCACCTACACTCCTTGTTTCTTAAGGTCTCTGATTATATGTCTCCTGTGTGCTTTCTTTCATCACCCATATAAAATGACAGTGCCTCTTTCCCCACTTGCCATCCTGTCCCATGTTTTCTTTTTCTCTGTGGCTGTTACCACTTAATACCAAGTGTTGATCTACTTCCCTCCCCTGGAACACAGCTCTGGGACTTTTCTGTCTTCCTCCCTGCTCTATCCTCGTCTCCCAGTGCAGGGCCTCCCCTGCAGTGGGCACACTTACTTACTGCATCCTCAACACCTGCCTTTTGATTCCATCACAGAAATGTGTTTGTTGAACTGAATTGTAAATCTTAGGTAAGAAAATAGCCTTAGTGTTGGAGAAATGGAAATTTGTCTTGTTTGTTTTAACCATTCCTCACCTACCTTCTCTGCCCTAAAAACCAAGAGGAGATGGTAGATAAAGATCAGCTTGTAACTACTAAATTGCCTGTGGCAGGGGCAAGGTACTACCTGACCCGATAGATAGATAGATAGATAGATAGATAGATAGATAGATAGATAGATAGAGATACAGCAGTTATTTCCTGCAGGCCTGCCATTCTGTGAACTTTCAGACTTGCCCAGTTGTGTTTTTTTTGTATTATTTCTAAAGGACATTGATTGGGAAATGAAGTTAGAGGTACCTTAAAGATCATTAGGATGCCCATCTGTGGGCCCAGAATTATGTTGAAAAATTATTATACTGTAGAAATAGATCTGGAAGGACAAAGACCAGGGTGTTAATAGAGGTTACCTTTGAATTATTTTTCAAAATCTTTGATTTCTATATATCCAATTAAAAAGGTATTTTAAAATTAAAATAATTGTTTAAATCATGTGGCTTTCTCTTCTTGCTTTTTAAAAAGTAGCTGTATAAGATAGAAATCACATAATGTAAAATTTGCCCTTTCAAAGTGTTAAAAGTAGGGCGTGTTTAGTATATTCACAGAGTAGGCAACCATCACTATGGTCAGTTTTACATTTCATGACCCTGGGGAGAAAATCACATACCTGTTAGTGGTCATCCTCCCCCTTGACATCTCCCAGTTCTCAGCAATCAGTAATCCACTTTCTGTCTCTAAAGACAGAATCATATGGTAGGTGGGCTTTGGGGACTTTCTTTCATTTAGCATAGTTTTCAAGGTTCATCCATGTTGTAGCATGTATTGGTACTTCATTCCTTTTATAACCGAATTCCATTGTATGGCTGGTTTACATTTTATCTGTTTATCAGGTGGTGGACACTGAGGGTGGTTTTTACTTTTTGTGTGCATGTGTGTTTCCAGTTCTCTTGGGTATATTCCTAGGAGTAGAACTGCTAAGTCATATGATAACTCTTCAGCTTCCTGAAGAACTGCCAGACTGTCTTCCACAGCAGCTGCACCGTATTACATTCCCACCAGCAGCAAATGAGGGTTCTGATTTTTCCACATCCTCACTATGTTATTGTGTATTTTTTTTAGTCATTTTGATTTTAGCCACCTTAGTGAGTATAAAGTAGGATTTATACTTTATTCCTAGTTATTTAAAAACAAAAACAAAAAACACTGCATCCTGTGCAGAGTAACCCTACCTGCCTAAACAAAACACACACCTTTTTCTCTCCAGCTGAAACAGAACCTCATGAGGGAAAGAGGAAAGTGGAATCTCTGTGGCCTATCTTCAGGATCCATCATCAGAAGACCCGCTATATTTTTGACCTCTTCTACAAGCGGAAAGCCATAAGCAGAGGTAGCTGGTTATATTCTCTCTTGGCCTTTCCAACCTGAGTAGCTTCTCAACCTCAGCAAGTTTTCATGATTTTTCTTACCAGTAAAAAAGCGGGGGAGGGGCGAATGTTGCATACTCTTTAATGAAGAGTAGTGATGGGCTAGGGGTGGGAGAGGCTGTTACATCATAGTCTGATGTCCTTTTCCCCATCTTTTTGTCAGAATTATATGAATACTGTATTAAAGAAGGCTATGCAGACAAAAACCTGATTGCAAAATGGAAAAAGCAGGGGTATGAGAACTTATGCTGCCTGCGGTGCATTCAGACACGGGACACCAATTTTGGGACAAACTGCATTTGCCGGGTCCCCAAAAGCAAGCTGGAAGTGGTAATATCTCTATCCCTATCTTGTCTGACAGATAAGTTTGATGTTACTTTCACTTCAGAATTCTGTCCTAGTTGATGCCAAGGGAGTTTATACTTTTTTGGGGCTGGAAATAGTTTGGTTGCTGGATGCCCTGCTGGCCATCCCCTCCCATGCCCCAGCCTAGAAGTGAGTCCCTCAGTTCAGGAAGCCATGCTAAACACTTAAGCAGTAATCATATTTGCTATGTCGAGGGCCCAATCTCAGGTCGGTCTATGGGCAAGTTATTGAACTCCATGCCTCAGGGTGGTTGGGAGAATTGAGTCCAGGAAGGGTAAGCCAGTCAACAGTGCTTACCCTTCAGCTGCCCTTTTTTCCAGGCCTCCTTTTCCTCAACTTGACACTTTAATTACACTGTTTCTTCTGTCAGAACTTTCTGTTCCAATAGGCTGGGCAGCTCGGGAATGGTTCTGGGTATGCAATGGCTGAGCTGAGGGCACAAACCTCTCTGAAATGGAGTTACTGGGATGTTGGCCATTAGTGGCCTTTGAGTGCAACCCCTGGGCTGACTGTTGTGGATCCAGCTGGGAGCTGAGACCAGATTTCCCATCTTCTGGCTTGGCCTTTCACACAGTCGTCACAGGGGCCTTTACTGTGCAGACTAGTTTGTACAGTTTAACTCTGAGCCCAGTGCTTTAGCTCAGTAGGCAGCAGTCTCCCTGAATTCATCTGGAAAGTCAAGGACAGGCATTCTGAGCAATGAAAAGTGAATGAGGGCTGTCTCCCCAAGGGAGGGTGCTGTGGGTCAGTACCAGGATTGTATGAGCATCTGGTTGGTGGTCCTGCCCCAACCTTGTGGCCAGAATAGAGCCTGCTTTGGATTTAGTTGGGTTTTACCATCAGATATTGTTTGCTTAGACAAGAGTTTTACTCCCCACCCCCACCCCCGCCAAAAAGAAAGAGGAAAAAGGAAAATAAACTGCTCTGGGGTCCTCTGTCTGCTGGGCAGGCCCCTGGCCAGGCATTAGGCAACACACCTGGCCAAGGGATGAGGCTATTCTGCTACCATACAGATTCAGGTGCACACTGTTCTCTCCCTATCCCCTCCCTGGAAAGTTCCCCAGCCCAGAGGAGCCCCTGAGCAATGGGAGACACCCCCCCCCACCACAGGTCTTAACAGGGAATGTCATACTCACTTTGTAGAACAAGAAGACTCACACAGATTCACCCCCCCCCTCCTTTTTTGGGGGGGAAAGTTTAATTTGCATAAATTAAATACACATAGAGATGTAACTTCAGTGTCAACAGCAGCTGTTTCCATTTTGGTGAGGGAACTGAATTTTTGCCATCCAGAACTGTCATAGAGTTTCTGAGGAGTGTCCCATAGGGAATGACGGTCCCATTGCCAGCCGCCTCAGAGGGAGGATTAGCATGTATGTGGGGAGGGGTGGAATGCAGTCAGGGTGCAGTGTCTCAGCTGTCCTCTGTTGCAGGGCCGGATCATCGAGTGCACGCACTGCGGCTGCCGGGGCTGCTCTGGCTGAGGCCCTTGAGCCCTGGCCCCTTTCCAACAAGGACTTTGGACTTCATAAGTTTCTGCCTTTCGTGCCACCCCTTTCCTGAGAGCAGCTCTTCTGGTAGAGCAGTGCCCCAGGCCCCAGTTGGAGCATGGTCTCTACGTGTGAAGGCATTGTTGTTCATTAGCTGTAATTTGTAAAAATAAAACTTTTAAACCTTGGGCCCTGCATTAGTTCTTTCAGAGACAGCAGTCTGTGGAACCCAGTGGGAGAGTTCCAGGCCCTTGAGACTCAATCCTGACTCTGCCCCATAGGTGCCATGTGACCATGATCAAATTCACTTTCCTCATCAGTGATGGGGTTGACAACCTCTCAAGTGAGGATGGCCTGAGATGACGTGCCAAGGTGGCCCAAGCTGTGCTGGAACCTGCCATGAATTTGTCAGGCACCTGGGTCCAGCATTTGTCCTTATACCATTGCCTGCGAAATGCTGCAGCTCTCTCTCTGGCCAGACCTTGTACCTCATGTTTGAGGCTACACCAGTACATTCATATGTCTTTAACATGAAAGGGACTCCTAGAGTTCCCACAAAGCACTGTAAAGGCTGTGTACTTAGTTCCATCTCTGCTGGAGGTCCTCCAGGGCCTCCCCATCACCTGTCCCCAAGGCCTCTGTTCACATCAGCCTCAGAGAGAGTGTCTTGGTCCTCCTTGGGCTTGGTCCGGAACTTCTGCCATGGGTGAGGGGTTTCCTCTGCTGGCATTCCTTTCAGCCACTGCTTATAATAAGCTCGAAAACCATCAATCTTCTCTAAGTAGGTGTTTCTTCCTTTGTACTATAATTGGAAAACATGGAATTCAAGAGTTCAGAGAAGCCACAGTAAGAATCAGCATGCTACCCACAGCTAATCCCAAACCACAGCAGCTGACTGAGGCTTCAGGGAAGCTGTGGAGAAGGGAGAGGGCATGAAAGCTGAGTATACTATGGAAAAGTGAAGTGTGAAGTTGCTACACCATGAGTCAGATCCAGATTCCCACCTGCTAACAGTCCTTCCTAAATATGTGTGGTTCTGCTCCTATACCTGGGGATGTCACCCCAGTCCTCCAGGCTAGAATCACAGGGTCCCACCAGCTGTGCCTCTACAGTCCGCTGAGTGTCTCCACCTCAGTACAGTCACTGTCTCCCTTCTGACCGTCCTCTTAGCACTGCTGCAATGGTCTCTACAGAGGCGGGGGGAAGAAAAGGAGGAAACGAGCTGTACCAGTCAGATCCCAAGAGAAAGCTGGTATAGGAATAATAAAAAAACAAGCGTCAGAGATAAAAGACTGACCACATGGTGATAAAAGGCTTAATTCAAAAGATTTACCAATTCTAAACTTGTATGTATCTAATGTTGCCTTAAAGTACATAAAGCACATCCTTCACAACCAGAAAGACAAATCCATTCTTAAAAGGAAGTATGAATGTATGATTTGAATACAATAAGCTCTAAGTATTTCGGTAGTCTGGGGACTGCTGGCAACCTGAGAAGACCCTTAGTGGGCCCTCTACCAGAGTGAAGAGACAATCTACTAACTAGTACATAGTTGCAACATGCACCCAATAAGGCTAGTATCCAGGATATATAAAAATCCCTGAGGAATCCATAAGAGTAACAATCAACTGCTCAAAGATGGCCAGCTATGCTTTCTGCTTGGCATACTCTCCATTGCTCTCTTAATTCTTACTAAGCCTTCCAAATGGCACTCAAGCACCACACCTGCACAGCTGTCCCTGACCCCATGCCCCCATAGTTTGGTGTGTCCTTGCCATCTCCCCACCCTTCCGATGGTGCTCCTCTAAGCCACAGCTACTCTGGAGCTCAGCACAGGGTCTGACTCAGTAAACCTAAAAACAACCCCCAGAGGGCATGGGGAGAAGAGGCCATTACAGAACAGGTTCTGTCACTGCCCTACTACCATCCCCTTTCACTTGCCAACAGTCGTGTTGGGTGCAGGCAGTGGGCAGGCACCAGGGATCCAAGTGAGCAAGGCAGGCAGTCTCCACCTCTAGGGGCTTACAATTTCATGAAGGCGAGACACACGTGCACATGTAAACATAGGCTATGAAACACAATGAAAAGGAATAATGCTGTATGTAATGGGAAGGGAGGCAGCAAGCTGGGTATCTTCTGAGAAAGAGCCATTTAAGCTGAGACCTACAGGACAAAAAGGAGCCAGTTATGTAAAAAAGCAGGGGGAGCCTATGCAAGGCAGACAGAATGCAAAAAGTCTGAGGCAGGAAAAAGACTGGTGCTATCTAGAAAGGACAAAAGTCCAATGGGACTGACAGAGTCAACAAAGGGAAGAGTGGCCTGAGATGAAAGCTATGTGGACAGGGACTTGCAAGCTGTGGTCTAAGGAGGTTGGGAATTCTCTCTCCTAAGGGAAGCCACTGACAATTCAAAGCAAGGGAATGCTGATCCCAGAAGGCCATAACCAGGGATGGGGGAGGCACAGGCTAAGGAGACAATGGGCACATTAGAGCTCGGTGCACATACCCGGTCAAAGGTAGGTGGGTACTCGGCCGCAAACTCCAGTTGACGGATGACCACCTCATTCACTGGGACTCTGTTCTGCCTCATGTCCTTCAGGATGTTGATGAGATAGGTGTAGTCCAGCTTCTTGATGGCTGCATTGATGAGGGTGCTATAGATGTGGGTGTTGGGGGTCATCTGGGATGTCTGGAACATCACAGACATACAATCAGAGAGATGATGGAGACGGCTGGGGCAAAGCCTGCTGCGGCATGTCCAGCTCGGTGAGTTACCTTGCCAGTCAAGTCTGCTCTGCAGACCAGCAACCAAGGACAAGATGGGCAGAATCTTGTAGAAACAATGGACTTCTCTGTCCCCTCCAAAAGGAAAGCCCAGCTGCCCCACTCTGTGGGTCCATCCCATATGGCTAAGAACCTTACCCTCTCAGTCCCAAAGTACATGGAGAAAAAGAATGTTGCTCTCAGAGACCAGTGGACTCAGGCTGTAAACCGGAGGCAGAAGGCCACCTCCTTGGTTCTTGGCTGTGGGTTTACTGTACTGCTTGCCCCCTCCAAAATTCTGATACATCCCTGCTCTAGTCTACCCTCTGTCCCTCCAGAGTGTTGGGGCCAAGAACTGTCCCCACCCCTCAGTCTCACCCCGCTACCACCATCTTCAAGATTGTAACATCCTTGCTCTCAATGCCCAGTGCTGCAGCAGCTCACCAGGGTCTACTTTCTCCCCAGTTGGGCCAATGATCACTCTACACTTGAAGCTAGGGTGACCCACTCTCCCTGCTCCTGCCCCTCCCACACACAATTTATCCTGTCTCAGTACAGAGGTTTGGGGAGTTTGGGAGGATCCCCACTTCCCCCTACCCAGATTTTTTTTCTGAGCACCCCCAGAGCGCTCCCCAGCACCATGAGTCCTGGGCCCCACTCACCTTCATGTCTGCCAGCAACTGCAGACCGTCCTGTGGCCTGTGGCACCCAATGGCCAAATTGCAGAATGTCTGGAGGTTGGGGGCGATTCCCCTCTTTGCCAGGACTGGTAGCAGCGCCTGTGGAAACAGACATGGCATCACCATAAGCTGTAACCCATCAGCCCTGACAAGAACCTTGTCTGTCGAAGCTCTTGGCAGAACACTGGAGACCCCAGGAGCACAGGTCTGCTCCAAGGCCTCAGGCTCCCTCTGCTGGTCACACTGGGCACGGGCCTCAGCCCAGCATTCAAGGGCACAGGTAGGGTCCTGTCCAGCCATCTCTCAGAGCTGTCCAGCCAGCTCCCCAGAATTCAGCTCTACAGGTACACCTTGCCTTCCAGCTTGCCTATCTCCAACATGCTGTCCCTTCTCCCTGAATGCCTTATCATATTCCTGTCCCTTTCTACTCTTCTGTTGGCCATCCATCCCTGCACTTGGACCTTCAATGTCCACGGAGCACCAGGGGCCTTAGAGGCTCATGTCCCATGGTCCAGGGTGGGAGACACCGACAACAGTGTGAAAAGTGCTCCTGAGAAGCCTGGGCAAGAGGTGAGGAAGAGGACAGATGACACCTGCTCAGCCTGGCTGGGTCAGGGAGGGTCCCAGGGAGGGGCTCTATCATATTTAGCTTATCTAGAGAAAACTGCCCTCAGTACTGTAGGTCTGAAGGCAGAGGCTGTGTGTTTGTCACCTTTGATGTTCACAAGTGCCCAGGTTAGTGCTCTGGCAAAAAAAAGGTATCACATAGAAACATGCCATATGAGTGGACAAAATCCCATGAGGGTCCTGGTGTCCCCATCTGTGAAGTAGGGAAAGCTACATACCAGCAGTGCCTCCAGGTGTGGTCAATAAAGAAACAAAGGGATGTGGGGGTCTTAGAACAGCATCTAGCACAGAGTAAGTGCAATGCTAGTGAGGTGGGGGTGGCTGAAGGCTAGGGATACTCAGGAGCCACCAGCCTCTCAGGCCACATGTCCCCATGGCTCCCATGTTCCTTGTCAATGTCAGGATATGTTTGGTGTCTGCCTTCAACCAATCTGTGAGCTCCTTGAAGAGAGCAGGAAATGCAGCTTGCTCAACTCCCAGCTTCTCACTCGAACCCAGGCCTAGGACAGAGGCTCTGGACAATCTGCCCACTAGCTGTGGAAATGGACGACACACCTGGCAGAGAAACCAGGTCCCACAGTCAGAGGGTCGAAGGAGGAAGGGAAAGGGTCTCCAGCCCAGAGCCCAGTCTGCCTCCATGCTCACCTTTGCTCCCTCCAGATCGCCCAGCCTGCTCTTCTTCCTCATCAGAGTGTTGAAGAATGTCACGTCAGCCTCCACCTCGTACATGTCCAGGATGGTCAGCAGCGAGGACTCTGCAGGGCTACCGGAATCTACCACCTCAGCCAGCAGCGTGAGGGTTTTGATGTCAGGCTGGAGCCCATGCTCTGCCATCTTGCCCAGGAAACCCTCCAGGCCCCCCATCAAGGCCAGCCTGTCAGCTGGGGTGGTCACAGTCCCAAAAGAGACCACAGCTGAGGGGACTGTCCCAAGAGTCAGGAGGTTGGCCTCCAGCCCCCATACAGGCAGCTCTGAGGCCATAGAGGCAAGGGCCACGGTGTGGTCACAGTCCATCTTGGTTTCCACCTCAGGCTGGACCTTGCTGGGGACCCTGGCCTCTTGATGCTCCAAAGGCCTCTCAAGTGCCTGAGAAGGTTCCAGAAACAGCTGCCTCTCCAG